CCCCAACAAAAAAAAGCATACCCTCCAAATGTGCCTAAAAAAAAATCATTTGTAACCGTCTATCCCCGGTTTTTTACCGGCTCATCCCTAAAACTCCCTCTTCCGCCTCGCCTCATTATACCCCCCCTCCAACCCCACTCTATCCTGCCCCTTTTAAAACCTATGGAACCCCCTCCAAAAATTTCTTCCCAGGAACCCTCCCCTCCCCTCCTACTCCATTTCTCCATAAACCAACTATCAGCATAGAGACTCATACTTTTCGTGTTGGATAGGACCCGACCCTCTGGGTACCCTCCCAACCCAGGGCTTGTCTCCAATTGTAGTATGGTGGTTACCGTCTGACGGTCTCGAAATTTACGTAAAACAAACCCGGACGGCTTATCACCCCACAATACATCCTCTAACCCCGCCCTAACCTTGATTGCATCAAACCTGTCATTGTGTACTTCAGCTTTTCTACTCCGAAGACTATCCATGTCATCCCTCCTACCACCTCCCCCATCATAACAGTCTTGCAACTGTCACTCCAGATAATTTTGCAACTCAAAATGCCACCTCACCACTTCTCGTCCTCTAACCTTAAAAAAATGTGCTATCTCAGGCTTGGCCTACATTTCCCACCAATCTAACAGATCTATCTCCCTATCCCTAGCCTCCCAAAAATGTAACCACCAATCACTGAAAAAAGGCCCCTCCCCCTCCTCCTTAAAAGCCTTACATTTAATTTCCAGTACCGAGAATAAATACACACCACTCCATCCCACATCAGATCTGCAATTACCGCCCTGTGATCAGAAAACCCCACATCGAAGGCTCTCACCCTCACCACATCTATACCCTGCTTAACATAGATTCTGTCTAATCGTGCCTCATATCCCCTATGGACGAACGTATGCTCCACTAGGTATGCCCCCCTCCCCACAACATCAACAATCCCAATATCCCGCAATACATCCCTCAGAACACTCAACACACAACCCGCCCCTCTCGATTCGACATCACCACTCTGTATCACACAATTCCAATCACCTCCTATTACTGTTATAGCAGGTAAACCTCTCAAGTGATACAGCAATACCTCCCTGACAAAATCTACTTTTACCCTGGTATTGCTAGTTGCTGGCATGTAAACACCTACGAAACTTGCCCAACTCTCACCCCAGACACCATCCACCCTCACTACCCTCCCACCCACCCCTCTTCCCAACCCATGACACATAAGGGGCTGGTCTCCTTTACCGCTACCTGCTACCCCACCTTCCAATTGCAAACCACTGCTAACATACATCCTATATCCTTTCAACCTCAACTCACTTCCAGCCCTGTGATTATGCTTTTGCAAAAAACAAATGTCGACATCAAACCTCCATAAAAACCACACCAACCAAACTTTCTTGACCTCTGTCTTAAGGCCATTAACATTAAGTGTGACACATCTGAAAGTTTTAGAAGGGGTGGCTTTCCCCTATGCCGCTGGGATTTACTCACTGCACCTTTCACATTACATGTACCTTTGTCACTCGTTTTTTCCTGTGCATTCACCTCTCCCTCCCCCTCTCCCACTGTGCAACTCAGGCTCGCCTCTACCACTATGAGCCATCGGCTCCACTACACCTGCCCATGACTTCTTCCCCGGCCTCTGCCCGGGGGTGATGACCTCGTCTATCTCTGACGCAGCAGTTCTTTTCCTAGAACTTCCGCTTACACACATATCACCATCAGTCGAATCCTCCTGATGTACCTCCACGACCACCACATGCTCCAGTCCTTTCTTACTCAAGGCTTTCTCCACGTGTTGTTGTCCCTCCAGCGCTCCATCCTCACATAAACTGAGAACACCTTCTGCACAGGGCTCCTCCCCATCCAAAAAACCCTTGATCACATCCGCCAATAAACCATCCTGGGTCGTAGCTTCCTGAACCGAAGACTCCTGAGGTGTCACCTGCATCTCCCCCGACGCCCCTGGGAGAGTGACACACATCTCCGCCGCCGCCACCTCCCTCGCTCCAGAAGTCAGTCCTCCGTCCTCCCGAAGCACCAGAGCTAGGCACCAAATCGCACGGCTGCGGAATCACAAATGGAGGCCCCAGAACTCGAGGAGCCTGCCTCCTAGGACACTGGGCTGCCATGTGCTCATAGGAGCTACACAAACGACATGTTTTCCTCTGACCAGCATAGTACACAAAAAACTGTGTCCTATACCGGTCATCGTAACATAGGATGGTATAGGCCTTGTTAAAGATATTTTGAGGGTGCAAGAACCCTCCTGCAGCCCTTCATACAGACCATCCCTCCACACTTCCATGGTTGCAGAATGCACTGTCCCATAACTGCTGAAAAACTCCTGTAGATCATACGCCATAGCCTCGAAGGATACATTTCGTACCTTCATCCATGTAAAGTACTTAGAGACGTCATGTAAAACGACATCCACTGCTGAATTCACACTCACTTGTTGTTCCTGGTAATTCTCGACGATTCTTGTGTAGAAGCCGGCTCGTACAAATTTCACAAAGATTCTTGTCAAACTATTCAGAGCGACGCCATACAATTCCTCATTGGGAATACCATATGCATCCCTGATGATGCCAGGGAGAAGGACGTTCATCGTAGCACCACTTAATATACCACGAACCAGCTTAATGCAGACAGTATTTATCCTCCGTCCTGTACGTTCCGCCATTTTGGTGTCCAAGTGAAAACAGGTAAACTGCGCAAAAACCAACTCAATCAGGAGCGTCTGCGCAGCACGTCCACACGGCCCGAAAGAGATGAGGACAATGAAAGCAATGATATATTCAGTGGTAAAAATTAATAGTAAGCAAATAACAATTAAGCACAAATGAGTATGTCAAAGACAGGTCATATGGTCATTTACTGAGTTGCTGAGCATTCAGTAGAATTGAGTATTCTGTTAGGTAATGTAATTAAAAAAAAAAGTTTGATTGGGTCAAGGTTAAACATTTATGAGATACAATTATTCAGTATTTATTTAGTTGTGGTTGAGTAAGTGATTTTTAAGAAGAGACTTGAATTGATAGACAGTGTTTCTTTTATATTCACAGGGAATGAATTCCAGATTTTTTTGGGGCCCTTTTTTGTGCATTGAGTTTTTTACATAGTGTGGGTGGACACGAGGAACATCAAAGAGTGATCTGTGCCTTGTGTTATGGCCATGTGTTTTTTGATCTTGTGTTCTGTTGAGGTACTAAAAACTATACCTGTTTATCACATATCTACAAAACTGTACACCTTTCGTATTTCCTGGAGATTTTGCACCTCTTCGTATTTCAACAGTATGTTTTACTCCCTGGTATCAGTAATTATAAGTCAGGGACACTAGCAGATCTGCGTGGGACGGGTTTTGACGACTGCTGACAACTGTTTACAACATGAACTGTCTCTTGGGCCAAACATTTAAGTTTTAAATTTCACCTTATCATTTATTATCCATATATTAGGGTACCACTGTGGTACCCCACTACAACACTATGTATAACACACTATATATCAGGGAGACTGTCTTTCCTCTGATAAAAAGTTCTAATATTATTTTCACTGGCATCCTAGGCCTAAGTTTCCCCTCTGAGAGTAGGTTATGCTGCGTTATTGTACACTCATTCTTTTTTTTTTTTTTGACTCGGTAGATATTATTTCTGCAATATTGGTTACAAGCGCTGGAGGGATATATTTATAAGTTCACTGGCACAGTTTAAAGTTCCAGCACGCAAGAGAGTTTGTGAAAAACACAAAGAACACGGTGGCACTGCGGCAGGGCGAAAGACTCTTTAACACCCAAAAATTATGTGGTAGCATTACCTAAAAAATTTTTTCCCTGGATTTTACCGGGGAAGAGTTTCCCGGGGGGCCCAACCCCCCCCGGCCCGGTCGTAACCCCGGGCCTCCTGGTGGATCAACCCGACCCAACCGGCTTTTTGCCCCGGCTGAACGAAAACCCAAACCCGTCGACCCACAGCCCGGCTGGTCAGGAACCGACTTTATGTGCTTGTCCTCCCAAAGCTTGAAACGGGCCGGGGGCCCTTTTGGGAACCCCCCCCTTATAAAATTCTGGAGGCAGGAAAAAGCCCTCGGGCCCCTGACACTTATTGTAGGTCTTTTAAAACGTGTTTAAGTGACACCCCTGCTTTTAAAGGGGGGGGATTTGAAATCGCCCTGCCAAGTCTTTTGTTTTTCTTTTATGGAGTGTTTTTCGTTTTTGAAAAGTTGGGAAACTAGCCCCCTCGGGAAATTTTCCGGGTGTATATTTTCATGTACTCTCCCGCCTGCTTTCCAGGGAAACGGGTTCAGGAACCTAAAAGCGCCCCCAGTAATTGAGGTTTTTTTATCTCCGTTATGGTCCCCGTGAAGGTTCTCTGTACATTTTCAGGTCAGAAATTTTTCACCTCCTTGAAAGGTCTTTTAG